GAGCCAGGTAGCACCGCTCGGAACGGGTCTCATGATAGGTTGAGAAAACAATGGACAAACAATAGATAAGTCTTCCAACAATATAACAAAACCTAACCTAACAATAGTGGTGCTGTACTTAAGGAGCAATCAAAATTGGTTTCAATTGGTACTGCATTACTGAAAGAATATGTATCCCTGGATCCAAACACATCTCTTTTTCTGTATCGCAAAAGACTTGGGTTTCGGTTCAGCAAAACTGCTAAGAACCACCGGTTGAGTGCTCTTGTTGATCTGCGGGGCCTGTCGCTTGTGGCCAAACCTACGGATCAGATACAAATGATAATAATATTGATATGTTTTCCGTTTTTCGAATTAATGTTATACATATTCTCTCAATTTAATTTTTCTGTACATTCTTTTGGCATCATTTTCCTTTTTTTTTCTATTTAGTCTCTTTGTCTATCTTWACATCATCTTTTTTATTACCTGAATGCACTTTTTTCCGCTCGTCAATCAAAACCTGGCAGAAGCAAAGCATGACGGGATGTCTGAATGCAACAAGGACATTAAGGAAGCCAATGTAAGCCATGTAACCTAGAAATAGAGATAAAAGTGCTGTTTTCTCTGTTATTTTTTATGCTACTGTTGTCTTGTCTCACCTCTGTCCCATGTCCTATAGCCCGTCATCAATGATGTACGATTAAGTCGACACAGGAATACCAAGCCCAAAGCTGCACCTTTTGCAACACGAGAAAGTCCAGACCATATCCCYACCAAGATATTCAAGAAGAAGAAGAAATATGACATAATGTCAAACAAACGCCTGTAAGACAGATGACACTAGTCTCTATTTTTGTATAAAGAAAGTGTCTTTTTATAATTGGAGAGTATGTATTATAACCAAGAGCTTACTTATTTATAAAATCATACTTTGTCATTATCATCATCAAGATCGAACGACCTTTACCACAAAAGGATGCGTTACCTGTTGTCAATAGTTACTGTCAGATCTGGGTAGGTTCTGTCACGAAATACAAACGTACACAGCAGAAATAACGCGAGCCATATTAGGAGAGGTGTGATTACYAGAGGCCTGCAATATAAATGTACACCTATCTCAAAATAGATCTCTCAAAATGCTCTGCTCTGCTCTGCTCTGCTCTGCTCTGCTCTGCTCTGCTCTGCTCTGCTCTGCTCTGCTCTGCTCTGCTCTGCTCTGCTCTGCTCTGCTCAGGTATCAGTTTTGATGAGGTAGATATACTTACAACAATAAGAGAACAATTTCTTTAACAATCTCCAGTGCCACTGATCTACCATACTCATCGTCGATGAGCTTTAATCCCAAAATTGGTAGGAGCAGAAATAGAATAGACAATGCAACAAACAGCATACCTAGAAAACCAATCAGATATTTGTTATGCATGTTATTATGAAAGTACTTTATTTTTTTCCTGGACATTATTTTGTAGCATTAAAACTTATTTGAATTCAACAAACCAATTGCTGTCAATGCTATTTGATATCCACAAAATCGAAGACTTTTGCCCTGGGGAAAAAAGGTTCATCTTCAATTCGTATTAGTAATTCTGTCGACATCAATTGACTAATGTGTGATGGAGAATTTTATAAACATCCATGCATGAGTTGATGGAGTTCCTCAGAAAGGCTGTTAAGCAAGAGCCGTGGCGATTACTTATAGGGCGAGTGGAGAGAAATTCCCCCTAGCCTGCATCCYGGCCTGCACTGAATAGAAACTGAGTTTCCTCGGGAGGATAGTCGGTTTGATGCCAGTAAATTATTTTCTATACTCACTACAAGCATTTTAGGATTGCTGCGTTCGCCTGGCAGTTGACCCGCTGTGGTTCGGTATGTTTCCAGCACATCAGACCTGTAGATCACAATATCTTCGTATTTATATAATGAACAAAAATTATTAGCCCAAGAACTTACGGATTACCTGTGGCTTTTGATAAAAAACAATAGCTGTAGTGTGGCAATGAGAGAAGCAGCGACAATGGCAGCCAAACTGTAGTCTGTATATAAAAGATGATTAGCATTCAGATTGATCCAGATTCAGTTTTGCGGCATCTCCAACTCAAGTATGTAAAAGGCCTACTGGTTCAACTCCCAAAACGCCTTCATATCTTTGCTCCCCTTTTTCCAATCATTACCAAACTTTGCTCAATTGAACAAATCTGAGCACCGCATTATCAAAAATCACGTGACCTTGTGAAGTCGTCAATTGACTTACAAATTTTCTTTTGTGAAATTATGAGCATAAGAATGTGCATAAGAATGAACGAAAATAGTAAAAATACAAGTGATTTCCGGTAATGGCCAGACAAGGAGCCGCGGTCGCTGTTGATGACTCACGTCGTTAATGTCCTGAAGCATGTCGAAAATTATGCCCAAAACGTTTGTAAACTTCACTATATAGATAGAGATGTAAGCACTAAGGATATACATATACAGGTATAGAGGGGTTTCACTGTACTATTCCATACAAATAGCGATGTGAATTTTTTATATACAACGGGAAGATACATAGTTTACTGGTTTAGTTGTTCTCCATGATTACAGATTAAAAAAATATGATAATTCCATGGACAAATAACAGTTTTACGATGCTTCATTTACTCTGTTATTAATAAGTAAGAGATAAATACCGAGAACGGAGGCAATAAGCCATATAAAGCACGAGGGGCCGTAGGCCCCGAGGGCTTTATAGGCTTATTGCCGACGTTCCAGGTATTTATCTGGCTTATTTCATACTTGAAGAAGTTTTCCAAGCACTGCATTAATATTTTCATTTTAAAATAGGCAAAGAAGCCGTTTTCATATGAACTAAAAACCAAAACCTCGATTAGAAAGGTTACGAAATTTACTGTATTGACAATTCTCAACGGTAATAATTTGCATATGCATTTTTTTCGTTAGTCCCATGAGACCAATGCTAACAATATAGCTTTTGTAACAAGTAACTGGACAATGTTAAATAACTGTTTTATTCCACAACTGACATCGATTAGTCAGTTAGCATAGCGTGTTAAGTATAGGATTTTCAAAGCTAAGGTTGTGGGTTCGAATCTACTTGGTGTCATTTGAATTTTTCTTTCTTTCTTTCAAGTTTAAAGTTTCAGACGGAAAATTTCTAAGTTGAACGTAGTAGTTAATTAGGTATTCAAGGGCAATAAGTACATTAGTATTCAAGGGCAATATCTAGATATTGCCCTGAAACTTCGATATAAAGCACTTNGGCCTGCACTGAATAGAAACTGAGTTTCCTCGGGAGGATAGTCGGTTTGATGCCAGTAAATTATTTTCTATACTCACTACAAGCATTTTAGGATTGCTGCGTTCGCCTGGCAGTTGACCCGCTCTGGTTCCGTATGTTTCCAGCACATCAGACCTGTAGATCACAATATCTTCGTATTTATATAATGAACGGGAAATATTGACCAAGAACTTACGGATTACCTGTGGCTTTTGATAAAAAACAATAGCTGTAGTGTTGCAATGAGAGAAGCAGCGACAATGGCAGCCAAACTGTAGTCTGTATAAAAAAGATGATTAGCATTCAGATCGATCCAGATTCAGTTTTGCGGCATCTCCAGTAAAGAGGAGCTGGTCGCGGCCTCGTCATCATGCTGATGAGGAGACAATGTATAGAAGCATGCAGTGCAAATTGCATTGTGAAATGCTCTGTCAAAACACTATAGATAGAGATGCACGCAGGATTAGTCACTTCTTCGTAGTTTATTCTATTGTTCTTTTTCTGCACCATAACACAGATTGCAATGCGATTTTTGATATACTAGGGAATTTACAGATTGAAGTGTTATTGAACAGGCAGTTTTTTCGATAGAGTCATTTTCATCCGTCTGTGAAATAGGAATTGTAGATCCAACCCGACCTTCAGCCGGACGTCATGCAATTTTACAATATTTCAAATATTGCAGCCGGTTTCAGTAACACATAATACATATTTACTTACCGATAACAAGTTTCAAAATTAGTACTAGCTGCGATGTTGGATTTATGGCATCAAGTTTTTTCTTGCATATTAAAAGTGCATAAATAAAAAGCACAGCTAACTACAACAAAAAAGGTTAATTGTGAGATAATGGCTAATAACCCTTCATACTTCCCTCGCTGCCCTCATTTTGTATACTTTAGACTTAGAACTTTAGACTTAGAGCCCCGAAATACAGTACTGCGTTGCAAATTTTGGTTAAAAATTCTTTTAGATACTAGGAACTGGCGAGCAAAAAGCCGTCTAATATCACCCTGAATAGAATCTTTAGCGTTAGCTACGTGATTGCTATGCATTGTGGGATCGGTTTCTGGAGAACACAAGAACACCCGATGTGTATAGCCTCCTCCGCAGGCTACTACTTATTTCCCTCTTTTTCTCTTTTTTGGGAATCCTGTGGTAACGAGGGGTATGGCAGAGCGGGGGCTGGGCTTGTTTATTTTTGTTTATTTTTATTTTCTCCTTTCCTCAACACAGGAAGCCCGATATCTTAAAAGAAATAAAGGAGATGCCTGTGGAGGAGGCTACGATGTTCAGGAATCTCTTGCATTTGCACGGGCTGATAAGAGACAACGTAGGATGTTTTTTATTAGTTTTCATCAAATTTCAGCTAAAAGCGTCTATTGTAGTGCTTGGGCTACCTGTGGCAGAACTGGTTTACTTGCGTATAAATCGTGCCCGCTATTACAAACGTGATCGCTCACGCAATTTGCCAAATATGGATGTACCGTAATCTTGACCTTGCCACACTTGCACTGACCAACGCTTTGGCAAATGTTTTACGACAAAATATCTTTAAACGTAAAATATAGTTACCTGATAAATGAAAATAAAGGACACAGTCACCGCAGACAGAAACTGAGTGGAAAACTTAAAATCTGAAATAGAAAAATACACAATTTTTAGTTATTTCCCTGATAATGTCGGCGACCGACGAAAAAGATCGATTTTACAGCATTTGATTTCCAGTCGTGTATGGCCCCTACATACTCGTATTTCTTTACAACACTTTACTACTGAAGGATAACTACTTTAATTGTAATGATCGATCTTTAACATCTTCGTTAGTAGTAGACAATTCTGTAGGACAATTTTCCTATTTTTGCCTGGCATTATCTTAAACAACAATAAAACACACACCCACAGATGACTTTACCTGGACGGCTTTCGTAAATCCTTCGTCTGGCAGTGACATACCAAGGTTCGTGCTTGACCTGGGCTCTAAATGATAAATCACCATATTGTTTTAAGATAATTTTATTGAGTATTGTAATACAAAAACACTTTGTGCGAAAAGATAAGAAAATTATGAGCAGTTGAGCCTAAGTCTGCGTAAAAGAGATTTTCCAAACTCTAGTATATTCAGCATATATTTTGAATGTTTATTTTTGAAAAAAAAAACAACAACGGCAAACAAAAAACGTTGAATACTGTATACTTTGATACTGCATTGCATTGTGCATTTCAAGACCTCAGTGCATTGTTGCCACTATAATTTTCATTTTACAAAATGACAAATCTAAACTTAATTGCGTTCCAATTATTGAATTTATGGAGCGAGTCACTTGGGAAACACGATTACTCCTTTTGAAAGGTCAAGAACTAATGCCTTTTGGTCATGAGATACACAATGTCGTTTCAGTATTCAAAGGTGTTCTGAAATAGCTGGACGTAAAACTGAAAGTAAAGATCATGCAGTCAAATCAAGCATGAATTAACATGAATGTAACAACACTGTTGAGTTCCTATTCAGTGCGGATATGACATGAATAGATTTCCTAGTTCACCTTGTTTACCTTTTCTTATGGAGCTTGTTTGYAAGTAACAGCGAGACATGGATGCGATCGATGTCCTCTGCAACAGTCTCTTCTCTCTCCCCATTGGTCATCTGTCAAATAAGTCATTTTTATCAGCTAAAGGATGTTCAAAAAGAAAAGAAAGTGCKCTTACAAATATCTTCCTCCATGYTGGATGTGTACTATTTKCATAGATCTTCCGCATTTCTTGGTACAGGAAAATTGTGTAAGCCCCCAAAAGAAGGATAGTGCAAACCACTGAAGGCAAGTAGATAARTATTKMTAATAATATGTGAYCACCCTAGAAAAAAGGAGAAACATGTTAAATTCAATCCACTCTAATATATATAAACATGAAATTCAGTTTTTCATTAGATCTAATTAACGAGCAGGGTTGTCATTATTTGGCATGTTAGAATATCGTATGGAATTTTTATTGTCATGAATAGGGTCGACAGAATTTAGAGGTMACAKCGGAACGTCCCCACCGAATCTAGATCAACTATTCCCCTCGGGATTCAAATCGCCTAATCAAAATAAATAAATCCTTGTGACAAACAAATATCCATCCTTCGTGCAACTGACTAGYCCTGGTTCAGATTTGAGTTGCATCATGGACCGCGGAGCAGGGGGGACTGGGGGGCTACAGGCCCCCCAATAATTTTTCCGACATTTTGTATTTTCTTAAATAAAGAAGCGAACAGCCTCCTTATGAAATTTCACCATATATATTATATAAAATTGTGTAAAAACCTAAGCGTGAACAATTAAAATTGAAGCTTTTTAGCGAAGTCTTTAGGATTTATTGATAATATAGCTGACCGTGTGTACGGTAAAAATGTCTTTGATAACGCCTCAAAACGCTGGAAACGACATGTCCGAGAGTTAAGATTTCAAAAATTTCCGAACCCCCCTAGTACCTCCTCGCCGCTAGCCCCCCCAAACAAATTCAAGCTCCGCGGTCCCTGTGCATACTGACCTGATCAGCAGCAGGTGAGCAGGCAAAAATCACAACCGCAYCAACAATGAATCTGAAGATAAATTTAAGCACAATTGTCACCAGTTCACTGTCATAGGGGATATGCTTTTCCCCCACATAACCCTCTTTATCCTTTATACATTATTTATTTTCTCTACAAAGTTGTTACAGCATTTTAGAAAACATTGACTACTGAATACGTTGTTATTATTAGATCCACGGTAGCTGAGTTACACGTGCCATCTATTGGCCAAACAAGAACCGTGAATTATTTGAACGAACAGGTCAACTCAAATCATGACTCAAATCAGGCTGGGGCACGTGATAAGCATAGATCAGGAAATTATTACTAGACAAGCAATGAAATGGACACCGGACGGTGTGACTGGAAAAGACGTMGTCCAAAGGAAATGTGGAGGCCGACGATAGGAAAGGAAATGAAGAGTATTGGAAAAATGTGGGTAGAAATTGAAAAGATTACCAAAAAGCGAGAAGATTGGATGATCTTGGGAAAGTCGCTATGTGCCACTTAAGGCCCCACATCGAAGAAGAAGACTGTGGTCTTAGTTTTTATTATTTACAGGTCAGTGGTGTTTCTATCTGATTAACTGTAATCCAATTTTTGTTATCAAATTTGACTTGACTTGACTTGGTGATCGCGTCAATTGCTATGCAAAACTTCCTCGGCCACTGTATACATTTGGTCGCGTGACAGGTGCTTACTTAATAATCTGAGTGGCCAAACTTCAAAGGCTCATAAATGTGAAGAAGAAGAAGTTGTGTTACACAATGACAATTATAAACTTAATTGTTTTTCATTGAAGTTCTCGATTGTGCGGAGCTGGTATAATCAGCATGCTGGTATAGTCACGTTTAAACCAATAGAACTCCTTTTGAACGGTGACACAACGAACAACAATGCATATCGGTCTTGGAACACATTGCTTCTGAAGTAACTATATATGTATACACATGTATAGAGGAGAGAATCAGATCCGAAAAATCCGTGAGCAATGCATATTATGAAAAAAAACAACACTTTGTTTGATAAACCTTTACTAAGATDTATAGAATTAATATTAACAGCTACATATCTTACCTTATGAGAGTATAGAAGAAGCCCAGGATGTAGCCRATCATTCTGTACTCAGCATTGAGACATGCCAAATATGGGTAGTTTATGATGAAGTACAACAATGACATGAGGATTCCTCTAAACGCTGGCAAAAAAACATGTTAGATAGTAGCATTTTGTAATATTATAAAAAGCACGCGGAAAATCACTTCTTGGATTATGGATATAGTACGAGTTAAATATATCGGAAACGTTAGGGATGCAAATTGAAAACAAATGTTTATTTCACACGATCTATGTAGCCCTGAACCAAGAGATCACAGGTCTGGATATATTCTTGCGTATAGTATTCTCTATGGGAGCCAAGAAGTGGTCTTAAAGATTATCATTTGCATAAACTGCTAATATAAGTATTTATTATTGTTCTTACTAGTCTTTATGGATTATCTTTGTTCGTGTATGTTCACTGATCAT